GTAAAACAATATACCATAGCAGTTCTGAAGAGATGCCTCAGGTAGGAGGTGGCCTAGATCATGGTGTTTTTATTAACTAACTTTTTTGAGCAGAAAGAAAAATTAATTTTTCATTTGCAGTACTGAGCTTATTTTTCCAAGTATTAAAGTTATCAACCAGAAACTTCAAAATTTTGCAAAACTTTCTATGTATCTAGTAATTTAATGATAGACTAAAAGATTTTTTTCCCAGGAGAATATGGCAACTTTTCTTACAGTTCAATTCTGGGTGCTTCCTAGAGGCCTCCATGCATTTGCCTTTGTCTCGCAGCACATTTTCATATGCAAGTACTCCTTCTGGTCATACAGTTTCATTTGGAATGTGCTGTGGTTTGCATCCTTTTCTTTATTTTGATGTGTTCTCAGTTAAAAAGGAAATTTTACCTCCCTCTCTTTAGTCAGTGGGATGATTGTGCGTTCAGCAGCTTGTCTAGTTCCATAATTTGATTCCATGATTTTAGTTACACTGACTAATTGTTGTGATCAATGACTGTTTGAGTTATACTTAAAATATTAGATTTAAATTTAAGTTAACCTAAAAAGAAAACCCAGATAACTATTGACAGGGATATGTGGACAAAAACAGTTTATATCCAGTTTAACATCTGGAAGTCAGTTGATTAAATAATTGTGTAGTCAGAAATTATTTTTAAAATGACAACTTTATTAGACTGATCTAAACAATTTCCACTGAATGATGTTTTTTCAAAGATACAGCTGTATTTTCTTTATGTCACCAAAAAATATTACCTAATACACTGAGACCAAATTTGCTAATATTTACAAAAAATCTTTTTTGGCTACCATAGGTTCCTTTTATTTGTAAGAACCTCTGTTATAATTGCAATGAGTACATAATAAGGTAAATTTGTTTTTGTAGATATGAAAAGTTTCATTTGAGTATTCAGGAAAATAACATGTTTCTCTTTCTGTTTCCTTCTTTCTGATTATTATGTTAATGAGGTGGAGAAGTGTAAAATAACATCTATGGTCTTACTGATATATGTTGTTTAAATAGTAGTAGGATAATCAGGAAGTGATTTAGGACAGTAAAAATTTTACATTATTAACCTAGAAAGCCCTTTTGTTACTGAAATAATTTGGGATGATTTATTGTAACAATTGTCTCCATAATTATCACTTGCTAAATAATAGTTATTTCCTAAACCCTTAAATGAGACAATAAGATTCATTAAGCCTACTTTGAATGTACCCAGAGGTGTAAAGAAATATCTGTGTGACAAAATAGAAATCTAGAGGAGTTGCTGTCCAGTATAATAAAAACATAAAACAAATAAAATATTTTATGCCCGATATGAACTCCAGGTTCTTTAAATATGTTCTAAAAACAGTGAATGTTGACTATCATGTAGAGTTAAAAGCTAATGAGAGAATATTTGAATTACACGGAAAAGTTTTAAACAAACTAATTACTTCTGAAAGGGAAGCAGGAGAAAATGAACATCTTTGGCACTGAGAAGAGCAGCAAGTTTTGCTGAAGAGAGAACACAGGTCAAGCTGCGGGTAGCGGAGGGGAGCACAGGTTCTCATCAGTGTGCCTAACTTGCATTAAGAGGGCCCATTTCATCTGGTTTAGTTTAGATTCCAGGCATTAATAAATGATTTTTTTCTAAAAAGAAAGGCATGCTTGGGATTTAATTACAAGTATAGAAGTTCTTCAAGGAATACTGTACCAGTTAATGCTTTACAATTATTTAATATGAAAAACAAACAAGGAAAATATACCCCATTTAATTTTTGATGAGTAAAGCTAGGCTTCTTCTCTAATGCTACTTTTCCAGGAATATTTCAAACAAATAGGATTAATGCGAATTCAACAGGCAATCCAGGGATGGAAATGTTCATATATAATAGCAAATTTAGTTAATATTGCAATGTTTACTTTTCTTTTCCTTGATTAACTGAGGAAGGCTACAAGCCCTGAATAGATTAAAATTGTTGCTCATCTTATGACTTTTCAATGTCAAGGTTATATATATATATAGGAAGAAGTCATCATACATATATAAACCCACTTCAAAGTTTGCTGCAAAGCTGTTTCATTACTGAAGTGAGAAAGTATAGGTACATTTTGACACAGAAGTAGGTAAATTTGGTCATGAAGGCCTTGGAGCCAAGGGTGGCAGGGGATAAGTAAATGTACAAGGTCCTGGCAGGGAGGTTCTGCAAGCCAGAACACAGAGTCCCTCAGAAAGTCAGAATGAAAAGTTTATTCTACACTTTCATGTGTACCACTTTAAATTAATTTTATTCAAGTAAGAGAGAAGTAAATTGCACACATGAAAGCTAAATAGTGGAGGACAAAACTTACCGATTGTTGGTGGGTTGTAGGGTGAGGAGGATTCGATGGTGACAAGACCTTAGCGGATGAAGCCGAATTACCCTGAGAAACATCCTGCAGATTCAGGATCAGGAAAAACAAACAAGCATGAATTATAGCAGCTCAGAAATGGGAACAGTGAGTATATGCCTGAGAGCTGAAGAAATAAATGCCTGTAAATTTAGCTCTATGACTTTTTTGGTAGTGAAAGCCAATTATTTGCAACATGTATAGAGAAATTGCATCAGTGTTTTTCTCTTCCCTCCTTCCTTTCTTTCTTTCTTTTTTCCCTTCTTTGAGAAGAAATTTCCTTTTGTTGTGTTCCTGAGAATACATGAGAGTTATGATTAATAGTTTATTACTTAGAATTAACCTCAATGTTTCTTTTAAAATACAAACTCCCAAGGACACTTGCTACACTGACTCAGTATCAACCACACATTATAACTTTCTTATGCCCATTAGTCAGGATGATGAGTTAATATTGTCAAAAGTGAGTTGCAGAGTCAGTAAGAGAATGCTTTTTAGTAAATTTCCCTTTGTCAGCTTTGATTAACTCTAGGTATAGGAGTTGAAAATTACCTGTACTGAAAAAAAAATGGGTACACATTACTACTGTTCAATATTGTTTAATGTAAACCACCAAATGACAACTATATTGTATCTTTAGGTATTAGATACCCAGAAAGATGCTTATGGTTATTGACTTCATGCATATGATTCATGCTGATAAAATCTTTCAATAAACAAAGACTAAAGGTATTTGTTTTCTTTCCTTTTATTGATTCTTTGCGAGTTTCGCATCATGCGTTCCAATCCCGCTTATCTCTGTCTCCTTGCATCTGCCCTCTGCTCTTGCAACCTCCCTCCAAATCAAAAGCGAACAAATCAAAACAAAAGGAAAAACAAAAACAGAAAAAAAGGAAGAATCTTGTTGAGGAAGCTGTAGTGTGGCCCGTTGAGTCACACAGTTGACCCTTCAGTCCATTCATCTTTACTTGCAAGTGTTCATTGCTGTGAGTCTTGGCCTGACACTAGGTGGCCGGTTTCTGCTACACCACCAAAAATGGGCTCTCACTGGGGATCCTCTTAGATACCTGTTGTTGTTGTGTGTCACGGAGATCTCGCTGTTTTGGTTCTGTAGGTTCGTTCCCTTCACATGCTCCAACAGGTCATAGATTAGGTGGATGTTGGTGTGGGCCAACTCAGTCCTAGTTCTGGGCCTGGGAGGGAAGTGGGTTGGTCAGCTCATTAGCTTGCCCTGGTAATCACTACTCAGGGGACTTCTCCAGCACTGACTTGGTTAGCTCACCCGAAGCAGCCTACAGCAAGGAGCAGGGCCAGTTCTGCTCTCCCGCCCTCAGATCTGGTCCCCTTCACACATATCTCCAGGACCAGCTCTACTGTTTTGTCCGGGCGAGGTGCAGGCCTGCTCTCCTGATTGCTGTAGGGGGAATAGGATGGGGTGGCAGGATCAGATTTCCTGCTCTCTCGCCTTCAGGGCTGGCTTACCTGTATCCCCGACGATACGGTCAACTCTATTGTGCTTTCCAGGTGGGGTGCAGAGTCCACTCCTCTGTTTTCTACAGCTGGTGTGTTACAGACTAGTTCTTTCATTCTCGTGACCCTGCAGCCAGCTCTCTTGCCTGACGCAGGTAGTGAGGGTAGGGAGTGGGGAGGGCATCTTTCCCTCACCCATGCCACCGAATGAAAGACGGCGTGAGGGGTCAGCTCTCCTGCTCTCATGTCCTCAAGGTTGGCTTGTCTGTAAGACCGAGGATACTTTTAACTAGGTCAAGTTTACTATTAGTTGATTCAGGGAAGCCAGGTTTTAAGAAAAATAACAGCAGAGCTAGAGAGAGAGCCCAGTGGTTAAAAGCACTTGCTGTTCTTACAGAGGACCCACGTTCGGTTCCCAGCTCCCGTGGCGGCTGCAAACATCTATAACTCCAGTTCCAGGGTGCTTTCCACCCTCTGGCCTCCACGGGTTCTAGGTACACATGTAATGTACTTACAGACATATGCAGCAGGCAAAACACAAAATAAAATAAATCTTAAAAACAACAGGAATTAGCATTCATATGGGAGGTTCTAATTTGGTTTGACAGTAGAGCAGGGGCATGGTAACTGGTGCTTACTTAAGAGATGCCCTCCACTACACCTGCAGTGAATAGTCTCTAGTTTCATAATTGATCGGCCACATCACATCTTCGCTATGATCTCAGAGGACAAACTTGCAAGTCTGTCCTTAAGATGCCCTGACATTTTTAAAGAACCTAAGGCATATGGGTGTGTCTCTTCTGTTTGGTCTTTGTTAGTGGTGTTTAATATCCCCGAGAAGCCTTCAAGATGCTCATCTGTTTCTAGTTTGTATCATACTAAAAAAAAAAAAAACCTCTTGTTGTGGGCCATCTTCTGCTTACAGAGTGGAAGATGTGTTTCTTACTTTAAGTTGTCAGTGGGGGAAATCCCCACTGTGTGACAAATATTCTCTTTTACTTTGTTGAATACAGTTTTTGTTTTCTTGCATCTGAATCTGCAGTGTGAGATATTTTCTCCTTATTACAGCATGGGAGACTATAACAATGAACTGAGCAGGTTGTTTTCTGGACTTTTCTAGGTATACCTTGGGAGGCAGAAAACTGTAGACTCCTAAACATGGGCAGGAAATAGTATGCATATGCAAATATTTGTCTCAAGTATGAAAAATAATTACAGAAATAACAGGTAAGAAATCACTGAATGTATAGGAAAGATCTATAAGTTTGCTACCTGAAGTAAAGTCAGACCAACCAGTTGACAATATGATAACTAATTAATAAATGTTAATTGATTATTTTAATTGATAATTCTAGTCAAGTAGAAACAAAAATTCAATTTCATACCAATAATCAGGCTTGGTCTTCTTAAATAGATGCATTCATAAATATAAGCCAATCTAGGAGCCCCAATCTATGTAAACTTGCAACAGATCTTTGTTAGTATTTAGGCATTTGTACTGGCCTGTCATTGGGGTTCTGACAGAATGTGCCCTCAGTTGCAGCCACTAAGAGCACTACGTTTCTTTTTAAAAGGGCCCCGGCCACCTCCCATCCTACCCCCTCTTTCTTTCTCTTCCTCTCTCTGTCTCCCCCCTCTTTCTTTTCTCTTTCCCCCTTTCCCCTCTCCTGCTGCTCCTGTCCCCAGAGGCCAATCTCTCTCCTCCTTTCCCCCTTTTATGATCCCTTTCCCCAATAAAAAAACCCCTCTGTTTGAACCCTGTCCCCGGCGTCTTTTCTTAAATTACAACAATCTTAACTATGTGCTATTAAAAAAAGGTTTTCATTGAAATTTTGTCAGAAACGTAATATAAAGCAACATAGTTTTCTTCCTTTTAATAATCTCAAGCATATTTTTCTAATATTTTAATATGAAGTAAAATATAACATTTTTTTTGTACCTAGGTTAGTTTTTTGTTTTACCCTTTGGTAACTAAAAGTTTCAACTTGAATTCAAGTATTAATACAGATATAAACCAAGCTTCAAGTTTCCAGTCTTGATGCACTGTCATTCATGACTGTTACATTCAAAGTTAATTTAATATACATGATTGCTGTTATCTGTTTTTTTAGCAGATTAATTTTTGGTAAATATGTGTGTATTATATTTGTTTGTGGAAACTATGGATCTTAAAATTTTATTTTAGGTTTTCCAAGCATTATTTCTGATAGAAACATACCCATTAACTTTCCCTGTGTGGATGTAAATTATGATGCTGCTGTCAATTCATCCCCACATGGGATACAGAAAGTCATACAGTCGAATGTAAACTAAAAGCTTACCTTTTCCTTTAAGTCCACAAAGGATTTCTGTCAGAGAGTGAAAACCTGGAGTTAGAATTTATTGGGCAAGGGACGGAGGGCAATTTGTGGTTATGTTGGGATTTTCACAATTTTTCTATTTAAAAATTTACCACTGATTTTATGTGGCATTTATAAAGGAAAATGTCATCCTTGGTGGTGTGAAGTCATGACTAGTACTTTATGGAGGGTGTTGAAGGAATCTTGGGTTGAGTTTTGAATTAATGCAACAAAAGTAAGCAAACCAACACAAAAACACTTATTTTATGAAGACTTATTTAGCAGAGTTATGGCATTTTCTGAGGTAATACTCATACAGCACAAACAGAAAAAAAAACTTTTCCATAGGATTTTCAGGAAGTAGTGTCCTGAGAGACAGACGTCAGTCTATGCACAAGAATTACTTTAAACGTCCTTGCTGTCTGGTCCACCCCTTAACATCACTTGGCAGTGCTCGAGCATCCTAGAGGGTACTCATTGTGTCTTCATCTTCATTTTGGTTATTATAAACAACCCCTTAGCAGAAGTGTGTGCCCTGTCCCTTAATTCTTCTGTGTGTGATTCTGCTCATCAGTTTTCTTGCAGAGCCTTAGAAGAGAAATGCTTATATAGGGCTGCTAAATAAATAATGCTGCGTATTATCTGTGTGACAAATGGAAGAAAATAGCAAGCAGATGTTTGTCATTAATGACCTTTGGGCTCTTGATTTAAGGAAAGATTTTAAATACATGAAATCAATCTAGAGGTCCAAAGGCTTAACTGCAGCATGAGCCCATGTGCCCATCACTGAAGTACTGAGACTGGCTGTTTGCAAATTTAACATTTGAAGGCTTGTCTAAAAAGGGATGTGAAATTGTATTTTTCTAGAGTGATTACAGATTTTTAAAATGAGAAAATGACATAGGTCAGTAGAAATTGGCAAAATGCAGCTTTTATGGCACTCCAACAGTGGTAATAATAGTCATAATAATACATACATACATTTTCTAAATCAATTTTCTAATGGAGAGTGGAACATTAGTTGTGGGAATTTCAGGCCTGGGTAACACAGCACTTTCATTGTAATGCTCAAAAAAGATCTAATATAGAAATTGCTTTCTATTTTGAGTGCAGTGTTTTGTTCTATGCAAAGATGATAACATACATACAAAATTAGATTGCTACAGACACACAAAACTCACTGAAAGTGGATAATTTTGAAAAAGATGATAACCAGAGCATATCTAAAAGCATGTGTGGATGTAAAACTAATAGAATTATTTGTTTAAACCCATAAAACTGTTTGCTTTACAAAACAAGATTTTGAATTTGTAGTTAAAGCACTAGTGTATGTGTGAGAGATCACTTTTGATCGGATAGAAATATACTACCTATTTAGTTTAGATTTTGCAAAGTTTATCAAGCAGAAATAATAACACTGTCTTAATACTTTCCAAGAACCTCAGAGGAAAAGATTCAGATATGGAGTGAGTTATTAGTTATAATTAAGTAATGCAGCCAATTTGGCCTTGTCTAAACTCATGGATAATCTATCTTTTAAGAGAGTTTTAGTTTTATTATTTTTGTATAAACAGCAAGATGAGCTAAGAGAACCAAATGCTTCCTCCTTTAAGTTATTTAATTATTAGCTAAGAACCATTTACTATTAGCTGGCTGTATGAGCCAGACAACACTTATCCCTGCTTACATAACAATGAAGTATGTGTAAATAGAGAGTTATATATTTGGTAAGTAATGTTTGTCAAAAATTTTCTGAGAATTATGTCCTTAAGAGCATTCCTTAGCTATAAAGAGGACAACATAATTTCTCTTAAACTCTGACTAAATAAAAATAAATTCCATGTAAATTAAGCTTGAAATAATAAACTGCAAAGCAAGTAAGTTTCCAAATAAGAGCAATTTATATGGCTTGTCTCATAGACTCTTTTAAAGAACATTTTATTTCTTTATACTTGTGATTCCTGTGTCTCTTGCAATAGAAGGTTGACTTACAGAAATTGTATATTGTCATCTATGATAAATCAGAGATGACATGTGTTAGAAGGGATTCTACACTTCACAGAAACATCCAAATCCAAATTACTTTGACTAATAGTATGCTGTTGGTGTCATTTAAATACACACATCTTAGTTCATAATTCTTAAGAATAGAAGTTTCTTCAAATCCCATTTCAGACACTGCTTCCAACTTTAACACATACAGAAATAACTTGAAGGTTACTGTGAGAAGGCAAAAGTAGTTTCATAGCTGTGGGGTGAAGTCCAAGATTCTGCATTCCTACTGAGCTACTGGAAGCTTTTGACTTCATGACTGTACCTCAGTGTTCTGAGGCATATTCCCAATGAAGTTGTTTCTTGGGGGTTCATCTGGATATTATAGTATTCTTTATCACACCAAGGTTCACATGGCCAGTTTGCTACAAAACATTTGTTTCCTACATTAATGTTTTCTGAAATGCTCAGGAGATACTGAGATACACAAATAACTGGATTTAAACAACTCATAGCATTTCTTTTTGTCTCTTAGAACAGATGTGTTCTGACTTTTGAACTTGGTTAGGACATTGAAAGTCTCTGGGTTTCAGTTTCGTCTTCTGTGACATGAAACATCGGACAAAAGAGAGAGTGTCCTGCAGACATTAGAATCATTTGTTGTAGGAGTGAAAGAATCACTTTCAGCCTTTGACTTTGTGGTTTTATAAATCAAGGGTGGTGTGCTTTCATTCAAGAGGGAAGGAAGCACTGGCTTAGGTATGATTAACAAACAGTGATTGCACTTGGGCTTAAAAGAGCTACAGTGAGCTTGCAACAGCAGGTGAAGAAAAACAATCTGGGTGGGAATGAATTACGATTCCAGTTTCAACTGACAGTCCTCCTTTTGATTCACCCTGAAGTTCTGAGGATGGACACACAGATGGTGACCTCATCCTAACTGGTTTAACATGGGAAACAAAAGTCTACATGTGATTGCATGGTGCACTCAAGGGACTAGTTATTAAATCTGGAAGAGTCTCCATACACTTTATTCGCTATTTCCTGATGAATTTAAAAAGCACAAAAGTAGTAGTATCTTTATCCATTGGATAGAGTATTTCTCCATTTCTCCTCATATCATTAGTCTTCTCTCTGGTCTTCTTATTTTTTTTCAGAGCCTTAACTTTTATTCAAAACTGCCTATATATCCCAAGTTATACACTGTAGTGAGTAAGGCAGAATGATGAACATGATCTTAAAACAATAGGACACACGTGACTTTAAATTGTGACATTCAGGGAATAGGCTCATGTCAACCACAACTTATAAGAAATTATTTTTCAATAAACTGACCAAGTTGGTGACTCTATGTCTTTATCTCACTTTGTGTTTACAAGATGCTTCTGAGTTGTTCACCTCAGAAGCTTTTGAGAACTGTTTTTAGTCTCTCTGTCTCGTCTCTGTCTCTCTCTCTCTATATGTGTGTGTTTACATTTTCAGGGTGAGCAGTAGAGGAAACAATAGGGTGGGAATGATAAAAACAATCAGCAATGGAAAATTCCAGATTCATTTTTCTAACTGGCTAGAGCTGAGCCATGGGTCACGGATACACTGTCTCCCTTAGGTTCAGTCTAGCAATGGAGAAGTGCACATGGGATTCTGAGTTGGAGAAAGGAGAGTTTGGATTTAAGAGAACTCATTTTTAAAAACAGAGCTTTTCTATTGTGGGAACTCAAATAGTAAGACCTCCTAAGAACACAGGAGAATTCTGCTGTGTCTGCCTTTGCTGGAACCTTTGTAGCCCTTGAAAGCCCTTCCCTGTCTTTGGCCTCCTTGGCTTTTCTCCCAGGTCCTATTTTAAACTACTTGTTAGAATATATTTTAAAATATCATCTTTGACTCTTCTGAATTTGCATTTATCTTCACATTACAGAAAAAAAAAACAGAACAAAGGAGATGGCACTTGAAGCACTTCTCTGGAGTAAAACACAGTCGATACAGAGACAAGGAGCCAGGTGTGATCCAGAGCTTCTGGACAAGGCTTCTCTTTGATGGCTACTCTCAGAGAAAAGAGATGGCTAGAAAAAACTGGAAAGCCATTGCCAGCCTTACCTAAGAGATACGTTAAATTCAAAGGAAAGACTGTAGAAGTTGTCCCTTATCTTTCAAATCTTTTAAAATATTAACTAACTTTGTTAGTGCATAAAGTGGCTAACGAGATAATACTATTGTATACTTCTTTCTTATTTATTCTCCTCCTTAACTATCCTTTACCTATTCTTATTTCTCCCTTCTTTCTGGTTTCCTTGTTTCTCCTAAATAGTTCTCCTATCTGCTATTTATATCACTTGCACTGTGTTAACCTCTTGCTTCTCCTTCCTCTCCCTAAAGACCACTTCTTTCCATTTCTACTTTCATGACTTGCACACACACATATTCATGTGTACATGCATGTACACACAGACACACACAATATATGTATATTCATATTTAAATTTAGATGAATGTATTTGTCTTTCTGTGTTTGTATTATTTTGCTTAACAAAATCTCTATTTCCATCAATTTTCCTGCAAAAAAATCTTGACTTCACATTTCTTTTCTTTAAGGCAGCACAAAATAAAACAAAATCCTACTGTGCATGTGTATCACGGTTATTTTATGTTGACATATGTGTTGACAATGTGTAGGATGGTTCCATTTTTAAGTTATTGTCAATAATACAGCAATGAACATGGCTGTGCAAATATCTCTGTGGTAGGCTGACTCGGGGCCCTTTGTGTATGTATTCATGAATTATATAGGTTTTGAGGAACCTCCTTGCTGACTTCCATAGTGGCTGTGCAAGCTTACATTTCTATAAACATCCTCGTCAGCATCTGTTGTTTGTTTTCTTGATGCTATCTGTTCTGACTAGGGTGAAGTAGCCTCTCAAAACAGCTTTACTTTGCATTTCTCAAAGCCTTCCAAGTCCTTGTTACCTTCTTGAGAAATGTGATTCTTGGATTGCAATAATAGCATTACGGTATGATTTTGTTTTTGGTGTTTCGAGACACAGGCTTTCTCTGTGGCTTTGGAGGCTGTCCTGAAACTAGCTCTTGTAGACCAGGCTGGTCTTGAACTCCCAAGGATTTGCCAGCCTCTGCCTCCCGAGTGCTGGGATTAAAGGAGTGTGCCACCACCACCCAGGTCACTATGGTATGACTTTAAAACTTCATGGAACTGGGGTTTGTGAAATGACTCAGTTCATTCTCAAACATGAGGACTGGGCTATGATTTCCAGAACCACGTGAAAGCTGGGTGGGTGTGGTCCCTGTCTATAATCCCAGCAGATGCACAAGACCTCCTCACTAACTGGGTAGACCAGTAAACCTGGGAGCTCAGGATTTCAGGAGGGAGACCCTGTCTCTCACAAAATAAAGTGGAGAGTTGTCACAAAGACACTAGAGGGCAACCTTCTCCCGCCATAGGCCTGAGCACATATGTGTACATACACATGCTTACCCACATGACCAGGCACACACTCACATACACATGCAAAAAAAATTCACAGAATCACCTTAAACTTGTGTGCTTAAGAACTTCAGTTTTAGGATGCGTTGAATGAGAGTTTTTCTACAAGTTATTCTGAGGAGTGGTTTTTCTTAAATGCATTCTCAACTGTGTGTCATGGCCATTAGGAACATGTGGCTTGGATTTTAACTCATTTTTCTAGTTGGCTGGAATGTTAAGTGCAAATGTTCCTCAGAGTCACAGCAGCTGTGGCCCACAATTCTGCTAGCCATCTTGTCTAGCGGTTATGGGGCTCCTCTGAGTGGCAAATGCTAAATAGGGAGGACGTCTAGCAGTCATAGTAACAAGGGCACACTGGAGTTCCAAGGGCACCCTTAGAAGGATTCCAAGTTTTTGTGTCCTAGAACAAAGACACTAGATAAAGACAATTCATTAAGAGAAAACTCAGAGATAGTATGCTTTCAAGGTGTGAGGAGTGTACTTGAAACACAGTTTATTAGTTCAAATGCCCTGTTCTACGACCTTCATATGGCCAACAGTTGTTGTCCTCTTCTAGAATCATTGGCATCCAAGGAACAAGAGTAAGAAAAGGACTTGTGATTATAATGCAGAAGTTATTACCATGGGAGAACTTCCACTCCCTGTCTAGCAAAGGACCAACTTAACTCATGCTCAGACTCATTTTAATGCCCTCATCTTCAGTTTACAAAGATAATTCCAATATAATTATTAGTTTGAAATTAATAGCCCTTCCTAGGAGTAATGTACTCTATATTCTCAAGACTACTGATACCCAGTGATTTCATACATGATTTATTCTCACCATCTCTTTGGCATTGGGCAGGATTAATCACCACATTCTTAATGGATTTGATTCTTTTTCTGATGTCTTTAACATTACCTCGGTTCCTTGGCTACCTGGCCACTGCTCTGGTGACTTGTGCCCCTGCTGTCATTTTTTTTGCTGTCTTCTCTCTGCTATCCACACACACGATCTCACCTCATGTGCAGCCTGCTCCTATCCAGTTCTCACCATTCGTGGTCTCAGCGGCTTTTATTGCTTCATGCAAACGATTCCCAGCACTACAGCTTTGCTCTTCGACTGCAACACCAAAGCTCCAGCCACACCTTCTGAACGGGCTGCTAGACATCATTATTTGCATGTCCCCACAGTTCCTTTTGACTAAAAACTTCTAAAAATTCTCAGAACTTACTTATCACCTTCTTCCACAGAGCAGCTTATTATTTTTAAACATCAAATTTCTGCCAAATAGAATACTTTTCATCTATTGACTTAGTTTAAAATATATATTTTCTTACAGTTCAATTTTTTAAAAAAATTAAAGATCCCCTTCTTTCTTGCTATACTTTCAGTTCATGTAGCCTGTCACTACTTTAGTTCACAGCCTCCATGCTCCTCTATTTCAGTTCAAGAACTATTGCGAGGCCTGCTTACGATGTACCCACACTCGGAGCATCTAGAACCCAGAGAGCAAGAATTATTTCTTCCTTTGTTTAAAGTCTAGGGAACATGAAATCAGATCAAATACTAATAACCAATAGGTACCTGTTCAATTAGTTACTTTACTATTGTGAGGTACATATTGCAACATAATAAAACGAGCAATGTCCAAACCTGGTCATTAAAAATAGCACACAAAGCATATAATATTGACTACTGATTTGATTTTGGAGTCTTGGTTAGTCAATATAAGATCAAACATATGCTGGAATTCCTTTCAATTATTTGTTGTACTCTGAGACAAATATGTTTCACAAGATTGACTTTAATAATTTTAATGTTTCTTTGGACTTCAGACTTGAAAGCTATGGAGGTGGAAAAGGGTGATTTTGACTTAAGTTGATAGGATTAAGAAATGACCCAGATGAGCAGGCTTTTGTGGCAGCAATTCATTTAAAATGCAAAGGGCAGCCTGATGTATAATGAATGTTAGACAGACAGACCAATTTCAAATGTGGAGAGGAGTTCAGACTATTAAATACCACCTTGCTTATGCAGTCCGAAGTGATTCCACTTGTCTTTAAACAAGAATTGAAAATGACATTTGCATTAAAGGATCCAATGAAACCAGTACAACGATCAAGTATCTGTATTGTTCATCTAAATGAAAATTCCATGATACAACTGGGATTGACAAGAAGGAGAAGGAAGACCCTCGTGTGTTATCATCATCACAGGAGCTTCATGCTGCTCTGCCCAGTGTTTGCATTGGACAGTGGCTTACTGTCAGCCTCTGACTTTCCTACTGTGGAGGCAGGGAGTTCTAGTACCTGCAGGTCCCATTATGAAGTCAGTTCTTGACCAGGCTTGCAGAAAGTTCAAGACCCTATAGTTGGTCACTTGTAGTTGGGACTTCTTGTACCTGACTCCTAATCATTATCTCTCCCTAGTTCTCATTTTTCTCTGTATCCCATGTATTAAATTTAAAAAGGAAATTAGTAGATTCTATTGTTTTAAAACAAATTATGTGCTTGTACCAATATTGAGACTTTGCATGGCTTCATTATTGTACCTATGAGCTCACAGCACCAGAAGTTACCTGTCAAGATTCTGCACAAGATTGAGCTGATCAACCGTCCACCAGGGATGATATACACTCCTAGGAAATATGGCTATAGCATATAGTATAACGTAAAATGGATAGGAAGACCAATCTTCATTGTATGAACAATTATCTCTGGGGATTTCTTGATGCTTGCCTTTATAATGTTTAATGTGTAAGTGTGCCTCTCTTTCCTGAAGTCTTAGCTTTAAACAGTAACAAATGATTTCAGGGGTTAGAGAACTACACATTGATCTCCTTCAGTCTTCTTCCCTGATTCCCTTCCCATGTGTTATTAATCATATATGAAATCGGACTGGAGGAAACTCATCTGTTGACCAAGTTTAGAGCTTGCTAAGCAAAGGTCTTAAAAGCAAGGGGGATATTTTGAATTGGATATGGATTTGGAATGTTGACAAGTTTATCTTTTAAATTGCAAAGCCTGTTTCTGATAGAAACAAGATCTGCGAGCTAAAGAATATACTAAAGGGTAGTAGTAACGTAAGGTAATTCTCACAGAGTGCAAACTGAGAGCTGTGTTTACAGCAAGTGGTGGTCATTCCTGTGTGTTCCAATTGTGCATCATGTTTCTATTGGTAACCTTCATAACTTTCAAAATCAAGTGTACATTTCATATTATGTTTCCATGTAGGAGGAAGAAGTGAGTACTGGCTGGCCCTCCTTTCCACAGCATTCCCTTTCTAAAGTACGGCCAAGCACCTGCAACTTTAATGTCAAATTAAAAAATGGAAGCCACAGTGTATACATGTCATTTCTTTAATTTCTTTTAACAAGAAAAAACAATCTCACACCTGAGGAATTTTGGTGAACTTTTACTTATGTGTGATTGCACAGATAATGAGACAACATTAGTGAGTGCACATTTTATTATATAATAATTATACTAGTACATGTTTATCTAACTGGGTCACACTTTTGGGAAAACTAGCTTTGAGCTTCACCACTTCAAACAGATGATTTTATTTCAAATGGACAGTTACTTAATTTTACTCTATTATTATGGACAGCCAAACATATCCAAGCCCTTAGTCATGTTTAGAGTACCTAGTTAATGGAGCATCACTTATGGTTTCAACTGAGTGGATATTGATTTCTCAGAGTTCTCAATGAACAACTTGTGAAGATGGGTTCACTAAATAGACATTTTTATAGTTATGGAAACTGGATTTCTCAGCTTGAGGGACATCATACCTTACCTGTAAAATGAAAGTGAGGCTCTTGTACATTTAAAATAATATGTTTTGTGTTATATAATTTCAGTCTTTTCTTGCACAGATTTGCATATGACACAGCAGAAGATTCTGCAAGGCTGTCTCTGTAGAGGAATTGCTCAGTGATAATATCAGCCAAATTGCAGGTTGAGGTTGAGAGATGTCAAGTCATTATTTAAGAAAAGAAAGACAAAGTGAATAAAAGACACATTGTAAGGAATACATTAGATACTTTAAGCAACATACGTAGGAAGGCCAGTAAAGGACAAGAAGCTGGAGTGATGTCATTACAACT